GAGCAGATGCAAAAAAATAATAATATAAAGGGCAGCAACTTCAAAGACTGTTGTTGCATCAACGAAAAACTGCTACTACAGCAACCAAGATCTGGACAACAAATCGGCAACTTCAAACACTTTAGAGCATCAACAATTTCCAAAAGCAAAAGAGGAGCAGCTTCACTACAAAACACATGAGAAGAACAAAAAAATCAGCAAAAGAAAAACTAAATAGCAGTAGCATTACATAATTACAAACATGGATTACCTTGTCTATCAACATGAATGTAACCACCATCACAATTCACATTTTAGTTGATGGTCTACTCAAAAAAACATGGTTAGTTTGTTACATTTACCTATCTAAGCGCATTATTATATTTACACCTAAAATGCAAAAATAAAAAAAAATAAAAAAAAATAATCGAAATACTAAGACTCACCCCACCATCACCATATGATGTAGCTCCAGTAAAACCATTGTTGATTATAACTCCAGTAGGTCCTGTATTCATCTATACAATATTCCAAATTTTCTCATCATTCATGAGTATGCAAAAACAATGGTGAGTCTACGGATCATCTACTCTTACACTGCCCTGTGGTGCACGATTGCTGGAATCTTATCTTCAGATTATTCGGCATTTCTTGGGTGATGCCCCGGTCCACAAGGGGCATGATTAAAGCATGGAGGGGATGTTATGTGGGGGGTCATGCTCGTGATTGTTGGAGGACCATTCCACATTGCGTATGGTGGTGCATATGGAAAGAGAGGAATAATTTTTGAAGGAAAGGAGGCGTCTACGGCAACTTTGAAACTTCATATCATTTGCTCCATTTTCAGTTGGGTGAAGGGGAGACACTGCTCTTTTTTGACGATGTTGTTGATTTCTTGGACTCATTGGGTCCATAGGTTCCTCTTTTGTTTTTGTACACGGGACGCATTCCCCTTTTGAATGCTTTTTTAACGACTTTTTTACTTATATAAAAAAAAAATATGTATAATATATATATATATATATATATATATAACAATTATTCACTGTTACCTGAGGTCACAGTGGACTGTTAGAAGCTTGGGAGTATTGATTTAATATATGTGGTTGTGAATATTCAACACTCATCGATGCATAAGCATTAGGTAACTCCCAACCCTCAAAAATTACGTACATAAGTTAGTATATAATAACAAAAATTTCTCATGACAAAGTTGAAAATGCACTTGCATTAAACGTATGGCTCATAACTGACGAGTTGCTGGTATTTTCATTCAACGATGTTGATTTAGTAGGTATCTCTACACCCTAAAAAGATTAAGCAATACATTTACATACGATTTACATTTTATAATGGATTAATAAGAAGTATATCACATGAGAATAGATAAAAGTACCTGAGATGGTCAAGTTAGAGGCTTCCTTTTCTTTCGCGGAGCCTTTTCAATTGGTGATTGGAACCTTCACCGTCCCCTAGAGGCCTCCCTTCTCTTCAAACCCCTCGCATTTATACCATTTGACACACTTAAGAGATGCCCATCTTCATTTGTACTGCAAACAATGAAAGACGAGTTTGGATCAACATTTTCTTTTTGTTTACCACTGAAATTTCGCTTCCGAATGTCATGAACTACCTTGCTTAAACTGTGTGAATGTTGGAGAGCAACTTTGTATGATTCATCAGTTTCAGCTGCCAAAGATGATATCTTAGTAAATATATAGCATAAGTTCTTGTATCGAGATGCCATTTCTAAATTAACATCCACTTGAATGTCACGTCCACAGTTGTCTTGCACCAATCCCACTCTTGCATCTCTTGTCCACCATTTCAAAATATATGCACTCGGTATTTCTTTAACATGCATGACTTCCCTAAGAATCTTTATTATGTGACTACACGACACACCCATCATCTCAATTTGTCCACAACTTGATAGAAAATCATTAGGGAACCATTTGACTTGACGCTCTCTACCTTGGTTATCATCAACTATATACATATAAATTTCACCATCCTCCTTGCAATCCTTTATATCAGCCTCCATTGATAATTCATATTTCCTTTGAAACTCCTCAAATATGGCATTAGTGTATATAGTACCGGCATGCACTAGCATCTTCAAGTGCATCTTTATTTTAGGCAACTTGTGACATAATGCATACTCAATTTCTAACTCCTTGTAACGCTTGTCATGAAGCATTCTCTCAAAATGCTTAAAAAATTGTGGCAAATCATGGTCAGATTTTAAGGAGCCCTTTAGACTAGCATTTAGGCTTTCACTTAGTTGTGTGCTCCTCATGCCCGCAGACCATTCCCATTTCACGTATGCCTTTGCCCATTTAGCTCTTAATTCAAACAATTTATGCAACCAAGTATTCTCACGGACATTATACATAGATAGCATGTCATCCCATGCATTAGTAAACTCATTTTCTTCCTCTTAGTCATCCATTAACTTTGTAAACACAGCTTTAATTCCATTCGAAGTCCTAAAAAGGATACTTGAATGCTTCACAGCATTTTGCATGATATGCCATGCACAAAGTTGATGGCATGTTTTTGGCATCAAGAGTGTTAAAGCCTTTGCCATTGCTGCATCTTGATCTGTAAAAATAGTTTTCAGCTTCTTCTTAGACATTGCCTCCAAGAATGTTTCGAACAACCAAATAAATGAGTCAATTGTCTCATCATACATTAGTGCTGCTCCAAAAATAACAGTTTCACGATGATGATTAAACCCGGCAAATGGTGCAAATGGTTGGTTGGCTTGATTTAGTTTATATGTTGTATCAAAACTCACGACATCTCCAAACTGACCATAATCAGTAATCATTCTTGCATCTGCCCAAAATATATTCGTTATTTTCTCCTTTTTTATCTAATTGCACCGCATAAAAGAATGAGGGATTTTCTAAAGATTGTTCCTGGAAGTACTTTAACGCTGCCTCTCCATATGCCAAATCTCGCTGTCGTTTAGATCGTATATAATTCTTTTGATCTCGTTTAGAGTACCCAAGACATTCCCTTCCACCAGCATGCCTTCCCAATAACTCATATGCAGATCGCAAAGGAATGCCAGACTCATTTGCCAAGTCCACTTCAATTGCTTGAGTTGTAGAAAGTTTGCATTGTGCTGGCATCATATGAACACATGCTTCCATAACCAATGAATGATTATGTTGCTCCACAAATTTATTAACCCAAAATTTTCCATTACCTCTGTTTAGTTAAATGTTCATCAAAGCACCACAACCCAACCTAGTCTCCACTCTAGGATTCTTTGTCAAATAGTCCCGTTTGTCTTTCCTTCGAAAACCTTCCTTACAACAAACATACAATCGTGACGTAACTTCTCCTGTGACTGGACTTTCGTTAGCATGATCTTTTCTTATGCTGAATCCAACTCTACGCCCATACTCATTATAAAATTCAAAACCCATTTCTTCAGAATTGAACTCCATTCCAAAATCTCAACTGAAGCTGTTTTTTGTTTTTTTTCAGATTCTCCTCTCTATTCAGGGCAGAGAAGTTATCAATGTCCAAAACTTGGAGGAGATCTAAACAAAGAATTTTGGCAGCACACAATTCACTATACTAGCTCAGCTAGCTTGCATCAACCAAAGCAAACTTGTTTCTATCCTATTTATAACAAAATGAAGTTACTTCAACTATGATACAAAACATAGTTATAGGATTTATTTACACAGAACAGAATGTAACAAGAAATTGTTAAAATAATTTATCTTAGAAACATTAGGAGCACTGTAAAATTTAATCTAATAGTCATAAAAGGAAAGGAAATTTGAAACTAAAAACCATGTCCAAGCATTTGTAACAGCAATTGCAGTTGCTTTTGTATTATTTCCTTCTCAAGTCTAATATCGGGTCGGGTGGATTCAATAATAGACGCCTGTTGGCATTCGAGGCTTCTCCTCGATTCGGTTTATAAATTCGTTGCTTAAGTTCTTACTTTTTTCTTCGTTGGTATAAATCCAATTATTGTATAGTTTGTTGGGGGGGGGGGGGGGGGGGTGGTATTTTATGCTCCACTTCATATAGTTATTAGACAATCAGATTGGAACTAAAACCCTAGAAAATTAAATTAGTGTAATTTCACATAAAATATTTTAGATTTAAAATACTGAAACACAACCTCCATTATTTTACTCCAGCAGAAGAAGAAAAAAAAAAAATATCATCTAAATTTTGAAATAAATCTGAATTCTTTTGTCCCATTTAAGACTAAAATGTGCAACAATAAATTTGGTGAGAATACTCAAGGGTTTTGAAAGAGAAAAATAAACATACCTCCAAAATAAAGATGCTTTAATGGAAGCTAGCACAAAGAAGCTCTTCAAATTCCATCTCGAGGAGGACTTTGGAGACAAAGATTAAGATCTTTGGAGATAGAGATCTTGAGAGAGATCGTGAGTTGAGGAGGGAAATCAAATGGAGGGAACAATTTGAGGGTATTGTAAGGAGGAAACAATGTGAAAAAAAAGAGGGAAATTGAGGGGAAATCGTGAATACTCCATCTGAAGATGACGTTATAGTTAATTAAATAGAACAATGGCGTTTTGGGTATTATCTTAGGATGATGATGTGGCAGCTCGTCGTACCGTTGGATCTAATACACATAGATGCCCTGAGAGAGATTTTAACTGAGAGGAGCCGGATCCCAGAACCAAACACCCCTAGTCTTCTTCAAAGATTTAGGGTTTCAAGATTAGCGGCAACTGTGTGTATACAGTTCACACACAATGACAACAACAATGGAACGAGACAGGCAATAGCCACAACAATGATTCCAATGGTGAAGAAGACGATGATTATATGCTGGTTTGTATGCTTTCACAAGGAGTTGACTCTTACAGATTCATGAACTTACCTGAGTTGAAGTTCATTCCATTTATACTATTGTTAGATCGTGGATGAAAATGAAGAAATACTTTTACTCATGATTGGTTTCCTTTTACATTTCAAATTGAATGAACTTTACATAAATGTACTTTGTTTTGCAGAAGTTCCGGCTTATTGATACTGCTGGAATTAGAAGAAAAGCAGCCATAGCTTCATCTGGTAGCACAACAGAGGCTTTATCAGTCAATCGAGCATTTCGTGCCATCCGTCGTTCTGATGTTGTGGCTCTTGTCATAGAGGCCATGGCCTGCATAACAGAACAGGTAAATGAATACATAGCATTTCATTGCGAACAATGCTTGACAGATTGGGCTTCAGGAAGAAATGAGAAGGGGTGGGTGTCGAGTAAAAAATTAATCTCTGTGTTAAATTAAGTTTTAATCTGTCGGGTACAACATATATAATCAAATTTATATTTTTCATCATGGGGCTGAGTATTTAAAAACAAATATTAGTTTGGTTTGGGTTGGATTTGTGGGCTGGGCTTTGTCACTGCCACCCCTATAGGGTGTTATTAGATAGTTCATCTGGAATGTGTTTGCTTCAGCTCCTTGGATGTTCTGTAGAGATATTGGGCCTTCAGATTTTCATTTTATATTAATTTCTGATGAGTAACCTTTATATCTACATTGAGATTTCCTCTGCATTAAACAAGCTTAATGCAATCAATGTTATGAGTGATAAATTAACACTAATGTTTGTAGATGATTTCAGTGTAATGAGGAGTCACATTGCACAATGGGCCCATAGGGAGTGTAGGACCTGGTGGAGACCTGAGGTGTCACAAAGGGACCTCCCAATAGGAGTAAAGAAAAGGGTGACGAACTTTTTTGAGTGATCTCTTGCTGAGGTTAGGGAGTTTTGTAATGGACAAGCTTCTTTGGGTCTTAAGGTTTCAAGAGCATCAAATTCTCCTTACTTTGGCAATGGGCAAACACCTTTAGGCAACCGTCATAACCTCTAGATAAAAGGAGAAGTGAAATACTGATTGGGAGAGGTCTTAGTGGGTTTGGTAGGACAATCGTGTGGCTCCAGGGCAGCTTGTCAGATTGACAAGAGAGTTCCATTTATTGTGATTGGCCCTCATAATGAGGGTCCTCCACTTTCCTTGGGGGGTTAGGTCATTGTTTCCTCGTCTTCTACAGATCACTCTTCTTCCTCTATGACAGGCTAGTAGACAATGTCGATGCCTCCAGCGTATCCTCAGGGCTCAGCCACCAGCCAACACTCCCAGGGTCCCTCTGAAGAGATGACTCTTCCTCCAAGGTCTTCCTCACTGGACCCAAGAGGATCATCATATATTTTATCCTTGAGGTTTGTTAATCCATCAGGAGGAACTCCCTGGAGGTTTTGAGCTGACCCTTGAGGTTTATTTGTAGGGAAAAACTCTTCAGGGCTTCGAGGTTTATTTGTTGGGAGGAACTCCTTGGCAGGTTGCCTCTGGAGTTTCATTTGGTGGGAGAGCTCCTCGAGGGTACAGTGGTGAGACTTATCTGCTGAGAGGAGTTTTTTACATTCTTTTTCAAGGCTGGCCCCGAGATATATCTGTCGAGAGGAACTCCTCATAAATAATTTAGTCAATGCCCCACAAAAGAGGTGATGGTATCCCCTTTGGCACTTCAATGTTTTTCAGTGTCTCTTTTTCCCTTTTCCTAGACACCATTTGAAAGCAAACTATCATCTAGCGTAGTTACACCAGAATGACACATCAGCATATATATATATATATATATATGCGTATATATTTATTTATATGTGGCTAGACCATAACCTGGAGGTCATGGACTAGGTACCTACAACTAACAACCCGGTTGCCCTTTCCTTCTTCTGCTTTTGTTTTTTCCCTTTCTTTTTTAGGTTTAAAGTTGGTTTCACATTATAGAACTAGGATTATGGGCACGTGCTAAGCACATACCTCTTATCTCATATTATCTTTTCCTCTATCTGGCTTGGATTATAAAAAATTGCTGTTCAAGCTTGCTGTATCAGATCATTGGTGTTATGAAGAACGATTCATTGTTAGCCAGGGCATCCCTTAGTAGCACCATGCCTGAGTATTGTCCAGATTTGTTGGGGAGTAGGCAAGAGTTCTTACATTTGTTGTAGGTGCTTCTGTTACTTGGAAGATGCAAAAATTAACAGTATATAATAGGTGCTTATTAACTCCAAACTGTGAATGTTGACAAGTAAAAAGGCAATTTGCTAGATACAATGATTATAAGGAAAGTTAATATAGAATATAGTTATTTCCACAAAATTAAGTGGGTGGGGTAAAAATATAGGAAAACAGAAAACATGGGATGCAAGCTTTGTGTACATGAAACAATGACTAATGGGGGGAATGCAACTGTGAACGAAAATTCGAAGGAAGTTGTAGATGTTAAGTGAAATGGAAATAAATTGCAGTAGATATTACTAAAACCCAAAGGTGGAGTGGAACACTACCCGAGACAAGAAGTGTACGCGCCATCTCAGATATGTGACGATGTTTGCATTTAGCAAGTCCAATCTGTTCTGGTGTGTGAGGACAAGAAAGACGATGGTGTATCCCAAGAGTGTTGCACAATCCAGAAGTTGGAGAGTTAACATATTCTGTACCCCCATCACTTTGAAAAGATTTTAGAGAACTGCCAATGTGATTTTTAATGAAGGCAAGAAAGGTTTTGAAATGGGTAAGAACTTCTGATTTTCTAAGCACGGGATAAAGCCAAGTGTAACAGATGAAATCATCAGTAAATAAGACATAGTATTTAAATTCAAAGACATAAGTAACTGAAGATTTACATACATCAGATGTACTGGATCAAAAGGAACAAATGCACTAATTTCATTACTAAATGAAAAGGGGTGATGTGTGGATTTACCCAATGCACATCCCTTACAAAAAGACTTAGAAAAACAAAAATCAGAAGATAGAAATTGATTTGAGCCTATGTAAAACAAGTCTTTGTGAGACGGATGACCTAGGTGACTGTGCCAAATGGAGAAAGGCATGCTGGTAGCAGCAAAAGCATGGGGAACTGGGGAGATAGATGACAAAGGATAAAGACCATCCCTACTAGAGGTTAGGTCATGAATGTCAAATCTTTGTGCATAAAAGGAAAGACGGACATTATTATCTCGAGTGAATTGAGTAACATAAAGTAGGTTCTTATGCATAGCAGGAACATTATAGACATTGTTAAGCTGAAAGGAAGAAGAACCAAGAGGAAGAGACATGTTACCCATATGAGTGATAGGGAGGTGAGAACCATTGCCAAGATAAACAGAATTTGATCCAGTGTTAGGGGTATGATTCTGCAAGGGGCGGGCGAGGCTCACCAGTCATGTGATGAGTAGCACCAGTGTCCAGGTACCAATTTGGGTCATGAGCAGTAGATGGCTGATAATTCAAGTATGGTGGCTGAAGGGACTGCAGTAAAACTTGCTGCTGATAACTCTGCATAAGGAATAGTGACCTCGGTGATGGCTGAGTCAACTGAATACCAGTAATGGGAGGAGGTCGAGAGAGGTCAGTCGGACAAGGACACCAATGAGGACACTGGAGGGCAACATGTCCAGTACCATTGCACAACTGAAAAAGGAATCGGAAATGCCAGTAGAAGCCTGACTGGAGTCTCGATTGTTGTTGTTGTTGAGACTCCGGTTGCGGTTCCATTTCCTATGGTTGCCACCTCGATTACCAGGATTATTGCCATGTCTGGAAGTAGGAGGTGTAGGTTAAAACCCAGAAGGAACAGAATACTGTTGGGCTAGAAGTGCAACCTGAGGCGGCTGGGTAGGAGCAGAAGTCTGAGCCTTAAAGGACAGTAGCCTAGCCCGAAGGTCTTGAAATGAAGGCAACGATGGAAAATGCAGAGTAGCTGTCATAATCATCTCATACCTGGACCCAAACCCCGAAGAACACAAGTGACAAAATTATTGTTGGATACCGGCTGACCAATAGCAGCCAAATCAGTTGGGACTTGGCATGTAAGAGGTAGTCAGAGATGGAATGGTTCTCCTTGGTAGGAGACAGGAGACAGAACTGAAGTGTAGAGGCATTAGTAATAAATTGCTGAGAGAATTGTTGCTCAAGTCATGTCCAATCATCTCGTGAAGTGTGGAGGCCGACAACCATCCCCATAATGGTCAAGGAGTGTCTGATCAGTGCGAAGCCAAATCAAGTATCCTGGGTTTGGTACTCCAGGTTGGTCAACAACCATCGTGAGGAATTCCGAGGGTGCAGGATAGGAGCCATTAACAAAGCGCGAAAAATTCTGCCCAACAAAAAAAGGCTTGACCTGAGTGGACTAAAGGATATGACCCAGCGGTACAGGCCCCTACTTCCCAAAGGGAGGTCAGGGGTTCGAGCCTCAGTGGAGGCATGGGTGTGTGAGTACCAACTAAGAAAAAAAGAAAAGAAAAGATTAGGATGTAGTTCGAGTCAGTCAACTTCACAGTTACCAAATTGGTGATGTTAGGGACCAAGGAGGAGGAATACAACACCATAAAGGTTGTCGGTGTAGATTTCGCAGAGTCCGTGGCACCAGCGTTGCTAGAAGAGGAAGATATGACGTAACAATAGTGAAGCCCGACAGTGGTCGAACAAGGGGCATCTCAACACAAAGGGAATGAAGGGATCTCACGCCGGATGAGGCAAAGACTCTACTTAAAAAATGTAAGAAGAAAAAAGAAGAAGAATTGGAAGAGACGATAAGGTCGTGAGACCATCTGATACCATGTGAAAGTTAAAAGAATTGAGAAAATTCAACACCATTGTATTCATCCCATTAGGGGGTATTTATATGTGTGATACATAAAAGGCAAGCCTAAATCTAAGGCTCAATGTTGGCAAACCTATAATTAGGCCTAAATAGATGTAAAAGAAGATTGCATCGATACAAGCTAATATCAAGCCTAAATCTAAGGGAGTTGTCTAACATAGCCTATAATGAAGCCAACATATGTAACAAAAGATATGGAAATATACAAGCTAATATCAAGCCTAAATCTAAGAGGGCTGTAACATAGACGTCTATGTCTTCATGATTTGGCCAAAGTGATAAATTTTTTGATAAAGTCTTACAAACGTCTATATGTTCCAAGATAGAAGTCTATGCTTTCGTTGTTCAAAACTTAACCGAGAGGCATTTCTGAGCTCAACTCCTACAGACATCTACCCAAAAGGTTACAGACGTCTAACCTTAAGAGTAAATTGGTCTCAGAGACGTCTATAAGACATTATACAAATGTCTATATTAGCACTGACTTTTGCTATTCGCGAAACCAAACAGGCCTCCAAGTGCTGTAACTTGCACTTTTCCTAATGAGGCTCTAAATTGAAAGCCCCTGGCTCATTACCCTTATTTCCATTTACTGCTTTGCTAAATTAGGGTATACTTTTGTATAACATTATGAGCATTCATACCTTCATACTCTAGAGTTGAGATTTCATCACTTGTTACATCTATTACTCCAGAGAGAGAGTTTTGATTGTAAAATCTATCCATTGAGGGATACCTATTGTACTCTAAACCGTTCTATATTTGAGATGGTTGCAAAAGATATGGTGCAACTCTTGATGTTTAGGTGAGGTGCTCACTTAGCAAAAGAGAGCTCGCTTTTGAAGGTGTCTAAAGATTTTCTCTCCACCTGTGAAGGCAAGTGGTATATTGGATGTGGAATTCTCCAGAGGTGCTCTTGGAGCATGGATGTAGGCGAGGGTATCAAACCACATTATGACTAGGTGTTCTTTGTGTTTGCTTCTGTTTATTTTTGAATATTGCTCTTATATCTGCACTTCCATTTGCTAAATCTATTTGTATACTAAGTGTTTGATAAAAGTCAAAATCTCCCCCCTTCCCCCTTTTTCGCTTGGGTCATTGTGGCTATCATAGGTTGACTTCTACGAAACTTATCTGACACTGCAAAAGAAACGACTTTCCATTTTTATCAATTAAATTTGTTGTATAATTGAAAGTAATTCATATAAGGTGAATGTCAATGAAAGCATGAGCTTTAAGAAAATTTTTTGAGAGGTCAATACTGTTAGATGATTAATTTTATATTTGAGGGCACTCTTGTCTTTTCCCTCAGCTTATTAGTTTAGGTTAGGTTAGTTTAGGTTATTTTATATTTATATTCTTGTATAATGTATCCTCACGTATTATTGAATACACAGAAAGTTTTCTCCTCTCCTTCACTGGTTGGTTTGCACAAATTTTTACATGGTATCAGAGCTGCAACGATTCTGGCCCTAGACAAAGAATTTCGACTGCAGCGCCAGTCCTCACTTAGACCATCTAACACAAATACAACTATGTTTATGATTTTTCCATGCATTGCATTAGTGCGCAGGGTCTTGGTTCCTCTTCCATTTTTTTTCTTTTCTTTTCTAAACTCTCAATCCCATCTAATAATGTTCTGTGCTTTTGCTTAAATTTCTTAGGATTGCAGGATTGCTGAAAGGATAGAAAGTGAAGGGAAGGGTTGCCTGATTGTAGTAAACAAGTGGGATACCATACCAAATAAAAACCAGCAGACTGCAACATACTACGAGCAAGACATTAGGGAGAAGCTTCGTACTCTTAATTGGGCACCTATTGTTTATTCAACTGCAATAGCTGGGGATAGCGTTGAAAAGTATGTTTATAACTGATTTTTTAATTGCAATATCGTTTACATTTCAGTTGCATCATTTATGTTGAAATCCTTGTTCTCCACTGAAATGTCACAAGGCTAAAAAACTAATCAGCAGTCACTGGGAGACCACCCTGTCTACACTGAAATGTCACAAGGCTAAAACACTAACCAGCAGTAACTGGGAGATGTATTTGGCACATCACTCATGGGAATATGGGATTGACGTAGATAAGGATATTTTCAATTATCTTTTCTACTATTTTCAAACCTAGTTTGTTGTCTATTACGCTTGGGGAGATTTGGTAAGAAATGTCATGTAATGAATATATGCTCCCATTCTCCTAAGCATGATTCTGTTGCTTTTCTTATTCCAGTAAGTAAAAAAATGAGACTATTTTTGATATTTTATATTATTATTCCTCTCTCAAACAGTAGGTTTATTATATTTCTATATTCGTAGCCACCTTTTGATAACAAAAACCACCCAAGAATCACATGTTTCCAGGTGCACACTCACACCTGAAATTTGAAAAAATAACAAATAAAAGGCAAATGGAACATAGGAGCCTTGCCCCTATAGAAAAATCCACATGGTTAATTTACTTTTGAAGTAAAAGACAAAAATAATGCCTAAACTTATAAAAAAATTTAAAAATTATGAAGAGCACAACAACCACCACCACCACCAAGCCTTTTTCCAACTACTTGGGGTCGGTTACATGAATCCTATTTCTCCATTCATCTCTATTTAAGGCCATAGCCTCGGTCAATCCACATAATATCATATATTTCTTTACTAACTCTATTCACGTTAACTTTGGTCTTCCTCTTCCCAATAACAAAATAAATGTAGTACCATTTAATAGATTAGACATGGTCAGTTACCTATATAGATGTGACCGTGGCAGTATTTGAATCACACAATAAACAATGAGTATGGATTATATTATCTTAGAAGTTGTTGTGTTTTTTTTTTTTTTTTTAATAAGTAACTAATATATAAAATAAAATCATATTTTTCAGCTGATGCACCAACTGTTCATTCAATTAAAGAGCTGTTGCTTGGTGCCATTGTAATAACACATTTATTTATTTTTTTTGATAAGTAATATTTCATAAAAGTACTCAAAGGGGGAGCGCTCCCAAAGGATACAAAAGCTGTCCAGGACGTCACTATAACTTTAAGCTATCCACAAAGTACAAAAGACAATCCATATAATTACAATCCCGCCCATTGACCCAAAAAAATTAAAAAGAAGATATAATATTGTATTTAAGAGACCAAATGGGAGACTCCTCTCCCTCAAAGTTAATGAAGAGGATATTAAAACTATCATTAATGAAGAGTATATTACAACTGTAGAGAATGCCCACTCACACATTACCTCATGAGAAATTACATCCATAGAGACTTTGAACACCGGATCATGTACACACTCTCTATGCTCGGGGTATGGTGTAGATACCTGAGCCTTTCACGATCTACCACTCCACAAGACCCCTGCTTGCCATTGGTATTCTATCCACTCACTCATCATCTCTACCCCCCCACGCACCAATTTCTATGAGGCTACATCTCTGCTCTTGGTGCCTCTTTGCACCCACTATCTTTTCTTCTCAACTCTACCTCTATTTATAGAATTCCTAACCCATAGCTTGGTGAACAAGTGATTCAAATTCTTGTTGGGCCACGAATAAAGCTGCTTGGGGCTCAAATACAATTACTTTGGGCCCAAGTCTAACAGAACATTTTCAAACCATTATAATTCAAATATTCATAACAAGAGGCATACTGATTTTCCAAAAAATATTTCTTCTAAAGTCTCGATCGATTGGCCATTCGATTGATGGCTACTAAAAGGTGTTCGATCGATCGACCTACTGATCGATGAACACTGTTGTCATGTTTAAAATTTAATTTTGAAAAATGTATAGAAGAATAAATTTGAAAATCCATTTTCAGTAACACTTTTAAAGTAAGTTTGTGAGCCTTGCCAAGAGCAAACTAGGTCAATTTAGGTCTTTCTAAAGTCAATTTACCTTTGCCCTAGATATGTCATAGAGAAAGTGAACTTTCTGCCATATTTTTGCAATTTTGTGTCTGCCACCTCTTCAAGACACTTTGACGCATATTACAGCAGAAGTTTTGAGTAGGAATATGCCAACACATGTTTCATTTACATAACAGGAAGATTTTCATAATATGGATACTAAAATCAATCTATTTTAAAAACTGAATATATTTGACCAGATGATATTTTGTTCAAAACTCATCTGCATCCGAGATTCTGTTATGACCTAGTGAAATATTTCTGGTTTGAATATTTTCTTTTCGTCTTCTTTTATTTTCATTTTTCTGTCTGGTTAACTCATAACTGTTCATCTATAAACATTATCAATCAGATTATCTATTCATGCATTCATGATATTCCTCTTATTGGTACTAAGAACTTGCATCTATATGCACTCTCTCTCTCTCTCTCTCTCTCTCTCTCTCTCTCTCTCTCTCTCTCTCTCTATCTATCTATCTATTCTTAGTGGTTGGTAATTTGTACATTACGCCCTAATAGTGAAGCGAACTCATTTTGCATAGTGCCTTGCAGTGGCAAGGCCTAATCAAAAGGCTTTCTACTCAAATCTATTTTTACTACTACAAACTTCTTGATCCTACACAGCATTAACATTGCTCTTACTTAATCATTTGTTCAGGATCATTGTCTCTGCTACTACTGTTGAAAAGGAGAGATCAAGAAGGCTAAGTACTTCCATCTTGAATCAAGTGGTACATGAAGCACTAGCTTTTAAATCACCTCCGAGGACCAGAGGTGGAAAGAGAGGGCGTATTTATTACTGCACTCAGGTACTTAAGTAATACTGTAGGTTTTATCTGGTAGCAATTTTTATATTGTATACCTTTGTTAATCTGTGTTTGTCTTGCTGTGCGGAGGGTGCTTCTAGTTCTTATTTTTCTGGTGCATTATTGTAAACTAGTTCATTTTTAGCTTGTTAATATAGTTTGTGTATTGTTTGGATAGTTGCTTTTTGAAGGCATGGAAATAGAAGTAAAACAACTTATTTTGCAAGTTGTTGAAAAATATTATTATAGTAATGATTAAAGCCCTTAAATCACTCCTTTGACATATTGATATGAGTCAATCATGGGAGTGATTTTAGGAATGTTTCCTTATTCAATTTATCACGTCTCCAGGGACGGAGCCAGGTTGTAAGGTAAGGGGGGAGAAAAATGAATTTAGGTGGCAATAATGCATTTTTTTAGGAATTTTAGAGGTGCCCAAAAGTAATATTTTATGGGTCTATTACTGAAAATGAACAAATTATAAGGGTATATTACTAAAAAATATATATATACTCGGGGGGGCAATTGCCGCCCTAACTTGTATGTAGCTCCGTCCCTGCATGTCTCTATTCTTTCACCTATAAATAAAGGTGATCGTGCATATAAAAATTAAGAGAGAATATAATAAAGGTGATGTAGCCCTTTGGGCTTTGTGTGTGTATCCTTTTGTTCTTCATGTTTAATTTCTCTTTCGGATCACTCGTCTCGGATATTCGGATCAACTCATGTCAAATCCCCGGATCAACTCCTCTTAGATCTTTGCAACTCGTTTCGGACTCTCAACAACTTCGTATTTCAAGTTGGACGCTTGAGTTAAAATCTCCGTGTACCAACTTGAGGGGGGGTGGTGAAAAATATTATTATAGAAATGATCACTCCTTTGACATATTGATATGAGTCAATCATGGGAGTGATTTTAGGAATGTTTCTTATATCATATTTATCACATGTCTCTATTCTTTCACCTATAAATAAAGGTGATCGTGTCTACAAAAATTAAGAGAGAATATAATAAAGGTGATGTAGCCCTTTGGGCTTTGTGTGTGTATCCTTTTGTTCGTCATATTTGATTTCTCTCTTCAACTTTTATATCTTTTAACATGGTATCAGAGCAGGTTTATCATACCCTACTCTATCCTCTACTCATCTCGGATCTACGGATCAACTCGTCTCGGATCTTTAGATCACTAATCTCGGATCTTCTGATCAACTCGTCTCGGATTTGTGGATCAACTCGCCTCGTACTCTCAACAACTTCGTATTTAGTTTCAAGTTGGACACTTGAGTTAAAATCTCCGTGTAACAACTTGAGGGGGGATGTTGAAATATATTATTATAGAAATGATTAAAACCCTTAAATCACTCCTTTGACATATTGATACGAGTCAATCATGGGAGTGATTTTAGGAATGTTTCCTTATCATATTTATCACATGTTTGTATTCTTTCACCTATAAATAAAGGTGATCGTGTCTACAAAAATTAAGAGAGAATATAATAAAGGTGATGTTGCCATTTGGGCTTTGTGTGTGTATCCTTTTGTTCTTCATGTTTAATATCTCTCTTCAACTTTTATATCTTTCAACACAAGTGATATAAGTTTCCCAGATGATGATTATTATTATTATTATTATTTTAGAAAAAAAGGTATTTCCTGGAGGATTTTGTAGCAAAAGGAACCTTGCTTTCTTAGAAAATGACTTCAAATTTATTGTGTTAATGTGGAACGCTGTTACAGGTGGTCCTCACTAACAGCTGGTGATAATGAGAATAACTGGCATGGTTGGCAGACCCCCTAGGCTCTGATAATTGAAGAACTCTGAGCCCCAAAATAGACCTAAAAGGGGGGTGAATAGGTCTCAAAACCAAAATAAATGCTTTAAAAAAATATCCAAACTGACTTTAAAATTGAAATTCAAAATATGACAAACTAAGCAAATAAAATCAGCTATTGCAGAATATAAAGCATAAGAAGCATCCACCCAAAAAAAACAAAAAAAAAAAAAAAAAACAATTTATGTGTGGAAAACCCCGTGTAGGGGTAAAACAAGCAGCCTTTGATCCACATAGATTAAATTTACTATAGAAGAAAGGTTTACAACCTCAGGTAAGAGATTATAAAACCATAGAATCGCCTGAATAATCTCTGATCTAGACTCATGCCAGATCTTCCACCACTAACTTTGTTATCGACTATCAATGAATCCGCTGCTCACGTGATCCGTTCACATGAACTGGACTTCAACTTGTGTCTTGATCTTCTCTGCTAATCGTCTGATCCTTGTAGGTTGTGTGGAATTTTCTGTGTTGAACTCCTTGATGCATGAGGTATTGATTATTGACACTCAAAGTAATTAACGATCTAAATGCTTGATGATGAATGAAAGAAGCAAAAATCTCTGGCAATTTGGGGCCTGTTGTATATTATCTAGATTAATGTATGCTTGTTCCATATGCATTTTATGAATGTATAATAGATAGCTAACCCTCATTTCATGTCTAATCTATTAACGAAACAACAAACCAATATCAGCATTACACCTTAGAACAATCTCTTAATCTGGAATTTAGAATCAATTAATCAAACTTAATGATTCATCAATTGATCATTGTAATCTTAATCATTAATAAATTTAAAATTCAACAATCGATCATTGTAAGCTTAATCGTTAATCATTTAAAACAACTTAGAAACCAACACTAGAACTTCCTAGTTAGATAACCAAGTGAAATTGAAAAAGAACCATAGGTCATAGGCAATCAAAAAAGAACCCATTACTTGTCATAGAACCAATCCCCATTTTGTGCAAAACTTGCCAATCAATATCCTATTAACCTTGATAAGTCTTCCTAAACTATCCAAATTGAGATCCAATATAACAAGTAGTAAATTGTATCCAAATAAATTGGAAACCAATAATGTATTTGAATTTATTATAATATTAGTATAATAAATTTAATCTAAAATTTAAATAGAACTTCGATGAATACAGGCTGTTACACATGCTCTATTCAATGGATGCTACTTCTAAAATTCTTTTCTTTGCTTCATAATATCACCAATTGAGGACCAACGCGTGGCCTTTAGGGTTAATCTGATAGAGGAAATCACACCTCGTATCCTTCCGAAATCCTACTACGGTCTTGGAGAAAGCCCTCATATCTTGGCTATTGCAACAGCAGGTAGTCGCCGGAAACCACAGAACCACCAAGGCGTTGAAGGAAAGAGGCGATTGCCTTCTCACGTGCCAGAAGCGTGTAGACGAGATAGATCCAAGACTCGTGTCAATCAAGCCCTCAGTCATCGCCTTTTGTTCCCTCGTAATATCCGCGCTAATGGATTCCAACCACGTGGCCATAATCGTGGCATTGAAGATGATCTTTATGTTGCGGATTCAGCTGGGCCAAAATGTGGATCTACAAAGGTCTATGGGCCAACAAGTGGGCCGCTAGTTAATCATGGCCCACAGGAGTTTAAGAGGGCTGTTCATCGGGGGCCTGTTTCCTTTCAAAACAAGCCCAGCCCACATTCTTTAACCAATTTGAAGAGAAAGGTTTTACGGGGGCCCAATAATAAAATCTTAGTTTCTACGTTCTATAAGAGTCTCTTGTCAGGCAGTTCTTGCTGAGATTGCTTGTATGGAGGAGATCTCGTGGAGGCAAAAATCTCGAGCTCTTTGGCTAAAAGAAGGGGATAGGAACACAAAATTCTTCCGCAGATTAGCTAACGCTCATAGGAGGAGTAATCATATTGGAAGAATTCGGGTGGAAGGTGTGGAGCTGTGGAGAGAGGAGGAGGTGTGTAACGGGATTGCTTCTTTTTATCAGAAGCTTTACACTGAGCCTTTAGCTTGGAGACCTATACTTAATGGTCTCCATTTTGAGGCTATATCTGAGCTGGATAGAGATAGGATTGAGAATCCTTTTACTAAAGAAGAAGTTCTAAAGGCTTTATAAAGTTGTGATAGGGACAAAGCTCCGGGGTCTGATGGTTTTACCATGCGTTTTTTGTTAGAAAGCTGGGCGATAGTAAAATATGAGGTAATGGGTACTTTTCAGGAATTTCATTCTTCTGGCGTCTTTGAGAAGTCGCTTAATGCTTCATTTATTGCCATTATCCCCAAGAAGGGAGGCGCTTCTGACATAAAGGATTTCTGTCCAATTAGTTTGGTGGGTTGTGTTTACAAACTTATTGCTAAGGTGCTTGCTCTAAAGATGAGGGAAGTAATGGATGGGATTATTTCGGACTCCCAGAACGCCTTTGTTGGAGGACGACAAATTCTTGATTCAGTTCTTATTGCGGCGAATGTGTGGATTCTAGATTGCGAAGTGGTATTCCTGGAGTTTTATGCAAACTTGATATTGAGAAAGCATACAAGCATGTGAATTGGAATTTCCTACTCTAATTGTTACAAAGAATGGGGTTTAGAAGCAAATGGAGGAAGTGGATCGAGGCTTGTCCTTCATCCGTCAAGTTTTCTATTCTTGTGAATGGCTCTCCTGCTGGTTTCTTTGGTTGCACTCGGGGCATAAGACAAGGTGATCCTTTATCATATTTCTTCTTTCTTGTTGTTATGGAGGGATTAAGCAGACTTATGTGCAGGCAGAGGACCTTGGCTTTATTAAGGGTTTCAGAGTGGGTAGAGATTTAGCCCATCAGATGGAGATTTCTCATTTACTTTTCGCAGATGATACCCTGGTTTTCTGTGATGCTGATATGTCTCAACTTCGTTATTTGAGATGCATCCTAACTTGTTTTTAGGCGGTCTCCGGGCTAAAGGTCAATGTGGTTAAGAGTGTGCTTGTCCCAGTAGGGAATGTTCAGGATATCTCCTCCTTAGCTGCAGTTCTTGGATGCAAGGTCTGTTCTTTTCCTATTCCTTATTTGGGGTTACCTTTAGGGGTCTCTTCAAGGATAGTGGGGAGTTGGGATTCAGTGATTGACAAGTATGCGAAGAGATTAGCAGGATGGAAAAAGCAATATTTGTCCAAAGGGGGGTAAAGTTACTCTTATTAAGAGTACGTTATCGAGCCTTCCCACTTATTTTCTTTCTACATTCCAAATCCCTTGTTCCATTGTGGATAGGATTGAAAAAATTCAAAGGGATTTTCTATGGGGAGGAATGGGAGATGAGTTCAAGTATCACCTTGTCAGATGGGAGCAAGTTTGCAAGCCTGTGAATTAGGTGGACTTGGCATAAGACGAATAGTTCCTTTCAATCAAGCCCTCCTAGGTAAATGGTTATGGAGATATGGAAGGGAAAGACACCGTCCTTGGCGCAGGTTAGTTTCCTGTAGGTTTGGGGAAGAAGATGGAGGCTGGTTTACACATCCGGTTACTCTTGTGGGAGGAGTAGGGATGTGGAAGTCTATTCGGGAGGGTTGGGACGACTTTTCTGCTCATATCAGATTCAAAGTTCGTGATGGACGTCGCATTCGGTTTTGGGAAGATCATTGGTGTGGTGGTCAGCTACTATCTCGTTCATTTCCTAGATTATTTAGTATTGCAGTTGATAAACATGCCTTCGTAGCTGATTGTTATCGTCTTGATAGCAGTGGGATTACGTGGGATTTGCACTTTCGGCGCTCTTTTCAGGATTGGGAGATAGATGAGGTATGTGTTTTTTTGGATCTTCTGTATCGGCAGGAGGGTGTTGGCAAAGGAAATGATGATTTGATTTGGGTTCCTTCTTCCCATTGTCGTTTCGAAGTAAGATACCTGTTCTTATGTCTGTCTCATTTTGTTAATTATGTTTTCCTATGGAAAACTATTTGGAGATCCATGGCTCCAACTAGGGTGGCTTTCTTTGTTTGGACCGCTGCCACGATCTACTAAGGAATTGATTCATCTATGGAGAGGATGTCGCGTGAGAAGGGATGTACGCGATTTCTGGAGAGTTATCCCACATTGTATTTGGTGGTGTATTTGGAAGGAGAGAAATAGTAGAATGTTTGAAGATAAAGAGTCGTCTACGGCAATGGTGAAACATTACATTCTTCGTTCTCTATTCAATTATGTGAAGAGGAGTTCTTACTCTTCTTCTGATGATTTAATTATTTTTTTGGATTTTTTGGGGCCTTAGTCCATGTTCCATTTTTGTATAAGGGACGCGTTCCCCTTTTGAATGCCTTTTTATGTTATTATTACTTATTAAAAAAAATAATAATAATAATACCACCAATTAATAGCTTCAATACTTTGCATTTTTAATATAAGAGCATTCAATTACAGTTATATGAACTCTGCAAAAAAAATAATTTCCTCTTCCTGTTTCAATAAAGAAACTATGGTTATCAATTACCTGACTCAATTTCCTTTTGCAGGCAGCTATTAGGCCACCCACATTTGTTTTTTTTGTTAATGATGCAAAACTTTTCCCTGAGACATACCGACGTTATATGGAGAAGCAATTACGATCGGATGCAGGATTTCCTGGAACACCTATTCGCCTTCTATGGCGCAGCAGAAGAAAATTTGAAAAAGGTGAAGGTAAGTAAAAGGGCTCACTTTGCTCATAATTTGTTCATGTTCTTGTCATATATGTTGTTTTGTTACCGTGAAAATGTGTATCTTCAACTTTTAAGATGTAGAGGGAGGGAGGGAGGGTGGGAGCAAAAATAAAAATAAAAAAAATGAAAAACCTAGTGTATCAACAGACATGCATTGCACTCTTGGTTTGAGCAACATGGAAGCACAGTGCACTCTTGGTTAGTGCTGTTGAAAAACGAGTGTATCAATTTTATAAATAGTTATTCCGTTAGTTATTGCAATGAATGCTAGAGTGAGGAAGATTAAGAATTATCACCTTTGGCCACTTGTAGGTTGCCAACAGACATGCATTCTTTGTTAGAACAAGCTTTATAGATCTCAATATTTGAGCTGCATGGAAGCACAATGCAAAAGATAGAAGCTAAAGTAAACTTTTGAAGCACAGTGCACTCTTGGTTAGTGCAGTTGGAAAACGAGTGTATCAGCGTAATTTTAAAAATTGTTTTTGCATTACTTATTGCAAATGAATCCTAGAGCGAGGAAGATTAATAATTGCCACCTTTGGGCAACTTGTAGGTTGCCAACACGTGAATCCTTCGCTTAAAAAACTTTAAGGTCTTCCAACCAAAATTCTGAACAGGAAGAACTTCAAACGATCGTTCTTCCCGAAGTTGATTTTGGATATGTCGTAGCCCCTGATGTTAGCTTCGATTTGTAGCAGATTTCAGATCAATCCGACTGGTAAATAGGGGTGGCACTATTTGACGACACACTAACACGACTTGAACACCACACATGATAAGTGGGTTTAGGTTTGGCTTAATCGTGTTCTTGTCGTAATCGTGCCGATCCGAATTCACACGATAATTAAACGTGTCGTGTTCGTGCTGACCCACCAACCCGTTTATAACCCATTTAATTAAAATTGTCAAATAAACGTATTGTGTTCGTGTTAAAAATAACCCATTTAGCTAAACATGTCAGATAAACATGGCGTGTTCATGTCTAAAATGACTTAAACTGTCTTGTCGTGTGAAGTCTTGTCCTATTTATTTAATGGGTTACGTGTGTCATCTCGTGTCAAGGTTTCTTGACACGAATAATAATCGTGTCGTGTTTGTGTTGACCCATTTAACTAGATACCTATGTCTTCAGACGACACGAACACAATCCTCCAACACGAATTGCCATCCCTACTTGTAACGAGGGAGATACGACCAAAACAAACTGTTGGTCTAGAAAAATTTGGAGATACACCTGTGTGTTCTTCAACCTCTTACGTAGCCTTTTTCAATGGTATTTCATGGTCTCCTAGTTTCCTTCTAATTCCCTTGTTTGCTTTTATCAAGTTTGGCTACGAGAGTGATCTAGTTGGGCATAATCACACTTAACTTCCAACGAGCCTCTTAAAGTACTAGGCAATCTATATGATCCAATTAATTAGTTCATTCAACTATTTTTAATTCCACTAAATAAAAATAGTTGCACTCCAAGTGATAAATAAATATTATTATAATAATAATACCACAGGTGTTAAAATACAGGATTACCCCTCTATGCTAAATTAGGCTATTAGATAAATGGAATTATCAATCCAATCACTAATTTATCCTTTATTATATTGAATAATTCCGTTTGATCACATCAATAGTTTCTTTTGAGAAAAAGTAATATATTTAATAAAAAAATATATAATAAAACTTTTTTCATTAAAACTTCCAGATTTGGATCCTGTGATCAAACTTAGTCAAGCCACAATAAATGATTAATATAACAACTGCATAGATGCCATCTTGAGAATATATGTTTCAGTTCCATTCAATCAGTGATTACCTAAAATACCTAGATGTTAGACCTTGGGTCCATTGAAGGAAATCAGGGCAAACCACTAATCAGAGCATGGTCTATTACTCTCTCAGGTGTAAGAGTAACTTGCTATAACACTTAATAAGGAGAAATTACTATGACGACCATCGTAATTTCTACTTATTCTCGATCCTGTTCAATTTGCCATACACACCAACATATATAAGTCCTATTTATGATGGGCTAAAATAAGTCAATCCATAAACAGAAACTTACACGTCACACTGTTACAGATAGAGTGACCAAACTCTATGGTAAGAGTGAACATATTTATGAAGACGTAATATCTATGTTTTATATCTCCTATGCATGTCTCTCATTTCGAGATGCACATAAATTATATTACATAATCAATGAATACCTTGACTCAACTCTAGAGTCGATCAATACAAAAGCATTCACAAGTAAAGCATTTAAACTAAAATATTAAATTTTATTAATAAGAAAGTGTTAAATACCAATCAAAAAGGCTCAAAGGGCATGCAATTCCAACAAGTGCAAGTTTTATTCCCATCAGTCTTCGAGCAGGATATCTTAATTTTGGGACGTAAAGAAAATCATCTTATTAGAAGTAGTAACCAGATCGAACTTATTGATTTTTATTTTTATTTTTATTTTTATTTAAACATAGTATTTGGAGCAGGTTTGTGGCATATAAGATTTCAGCAAATGAAAACATATCAATTTTAATTTAGATAGCACTTAAAATGAATTCTTCCCATTTCTTTTCTTTTTTTATCTTATTTTTACATAATATTTAAAATGTTTATATATATATATATATTCCATAGCCATTCAAGATCATGAAGCTTTGAGTGTAGAGCACAAAAAGATGACGTACAAATAAAAATATAAAAATTGAATCAGTGTATCCTTGCATGTATATATTTGTGTGTCTAGTCAAATGAAAATGTTATAGGAGCTCCTTTGTATATCATATATATACAGTTCCTTTATAAATTGGGGAATGGTTTCCTTACATATTTTGTTTTTTATTGGGTACATTTATTTTTTCATGACTATCTTATTCCAGAATTGCTAATTTCAAGTTATATGTATTCTAATTATTGCATTATATTGGAATTTCTAAATGTCTGTTGGAAGATGTATCCAACTTATATGGCCTTCATTGTCATTTCCAGCAAAGAATGCAACAACAATGCAAGTGAATGTCACACCACGTAACAGAAAATTGGCAATAGCTGCATGACTTGTTACCGACTTTTGGTTATCCAGTGACATTCTAGTTTTTGGTAAGACATCTAGTTTTGTTTATTACACACTCACATACTAGTTTTTGGCGGGATTCATTGATCGTGTAAGATACCGTGGATCATTGAAGAACATTTGAGCAGCAGGTATAATAGCTTCTTTACTGAAAATTGTGGATTCAACTGGGAACTAAGCTTGAGTTCAGACGTTGAGAGTTACTGTAGCTAGTTGAACTGTAATGAGCATTTTTCTGGATGCTTGTACTCTTCATTATTAGTGGATTGGTTAGTCGGGCGAAATTGTTCTGGGTTTTTCCTACTTTGGGCTTTCCTTATAAAAATTCTGTTTCTCGTGTATTTTATTTTTTTTTTGGGCGAATTTCTGTTACTCTTTACTTTGTTTATTTTGTGTGATTGTTTTTGGCCAATTTCTATTACTCTTTACTATGTTTATTTTGTGTGGTTGCTGAGATTTGAAGTACTAAAAGTAGTTAAAGAATAAAGGAAACCCACTCAAGCTGCTTTAGGTCTGTTTTCATATCAGTAATTCATTGGGGACATTTTGTGTGCACCACCTCTCACCATATCTTTTTGGAATACACTTGCATCTCCTGTAGATTGTCTAATAATTACTCTCACCATGTGCCTCCCCTCTAGTTTCAACAGTAGTGTTAATTGGAGTCGCATATGCGACTGTACCCCTAATTGGTTAGGATTCTTAGAATTTTATAGTTAATTAAATGTCTCCTGCCATTATAGAACATTTAAAATATAAATTTATAAGTCAAAAGTGTCTTTTTAATTATTTTTTCTCTCTTAAGTTGATCCGGATACATATATAAATACTACGTGTATATTTATCAATAACATTCTAATTATGGATTATGATGCGATTATTTTTATTCTATTTTTTTTTTTTTTATGGATATTTTTTTTAATTGTCTTTTAGTTAATATACAGAGTGTGTATCTAATTATTACTCATTTTGTTCCAAAAAGAATATCACAGTTTCCCAAAAAGACATTCTTTTTGGGATAGACTAGTCAATATCTCTCTATTATGAATACATATAATATATATATAATTATATATATACGAAAGCTTGTACATATAGATACTCTATCTATATATATATATACATACAAAAAGAAAAGCTGCTATTTGTAAATATAAATACTCAATCTATATATATACATAAAAAGGAAAGTTGTTGTTTTTATATATAGATACTCAATATATATATATATATATACACACACGCACACACAAAGGAATTTAGGTGTTTATACACACACACACGTCATCTAAGTGAGGAGAGAAGAAATAATTAGAAAAGTACTTTCGTCCAATAAATTTAATTTTAAGTGTTCCATAATGTTAGGGGACATTTAATTAATTAGCGTAGGAATCTTGACCAATTAGGAGTGCAAGTGTGCAAGAACAATCTCATGTGCGACTGCAATTAGCATTCCTAATTTCAAATATAAACATTGAACTTCCACTGGTTCAGGACCGAGTAGCATTAGCCTCTCATGTTATAAGATCTAACACTCTTATCTGCTGCTGATGACATGCATAATATTACTTAAAATCCAAAAATGTCCTTAGAAAGCTCAAAAAGACCATTTTTGTCTTTAAAGAAACACTCTCCTTGTTCGGACCTAAAATATTTTCTAAACAAAATATTTTCATGTAAAATGTCCTTTTTATTTTTCAGTGTTTGGTAACGGTCCGTAAAATATTTTTTATATCAACTTTTGTGCACAATTAACTTTCTTTCTTTAGTGTTTTTCGCCAACAGAGAATAGTACCCACAATTAGCATTTTTTTTTAAAGGTAAATTTCAATTTTATAGATATAAGAACTAACAAATGTACAGCCCAAGGTTGGCCCAAGCTAACAACAATTACAAGTTGAGTCCGTGAATACGCAAGCCCAAGCCCAAGATTAAAACATCCCACCCAAGGATTTCAAAAGCAATGACCGTTACTGGCCAACAACAAATAACAGTGTAGAAGATGGAGATGGTCTCCTTATACCCGGTGATCAAGGGGCTTCCCCGGCATATAGACCTGTAAATGGATTGGATTCGAATAGAATTAAGTCTAATTCAATTCAAATCTGATAAACATTTTACTCGATTTGATCTGATCCGATAATTCGACGATCCGATAATTCGACGGATATTTTGCAAGTCAATCTGAATCCGATTTGTTAATAAACGGATATTCAATCAGATAATTCGTCCCTACCCGATAAAATGTAGTTTTTATAATTAAAAAAAAGGAAAAAAAAAATTTAATAATGTCAAAAGAGAATAAAAATAATAATGATTAGAAGAAAAAGATATAAAACAAAAGATAAATAAAATATGAAAGGAAAAAAAAAAAAAAAAAAAAAAAAAAAAGATTATTTACTCTTTGTTAATGAATAAACAATATGATATAATTAGTATGTATATTAGGAGATTTATTAGTACGTGGATGAAAACAACCTATTGTACATATAACAATATGATTTTTTTTTTTTTTGGTTACATCTAATACAAATCTAATAAGAGTATTGATATATATATATATATATATATATATATATACAATTTTATTCGGATCGGATTATTATCAAATCGGATCAACATAATCCATATCCGATTTGTTAAGCTAACGGATTATCGGATTCGGATCGTAATCGGGTTATAAGATTTTTTTGTTCAATCCATATTCGACTAATCGGAGCGGATTCGGATCAGGATCCACTTTATTGACAGGTTTACCGGCGGATGAACGATTAAAGCTGGAAGTTCACATTCCTTAATTATGCGCCTAGCATTGAGAGAGTGAGTGATGGATGATGAAGACATTAGTTTCAGTCTGATTGTCTTTAATGTTTGATGAAGCACTGAGTTCGGTGTAAGTGATTTTTTTTTTTTTTTTTTTTTACAATTCTCCGGTTGCGTTCATTCCATATGTTGTAAACCAATGATGCCAGAGCCATTTTTGAAATTAAGTTACTGTAAAAACAAAAGTTGCATCGCCAATGATAAGATGCCCAAGCAATTAAGTCCGGCGGCTGAATATGGAACCCACAACGTGCTTGAAGAAAGGACCATAAGGGCTTCGCAAAATCACATTTGAAGAATATGTGGTTATATGTTGGACCAAGAGGGGGGGTGAATTGGTCAATTTCAAAACCTTCTTCAGCACAACCAGATCAATGATGATAAACAAATACAATGAACACAAGGTATAGAAGGAAAACCCTCTCAATAAGGAAAAACCTTAATTCTTGGCCTCAGCCAATATAAGCTCCATTAGTTGTATGTAAGTAGTTACATACTCAGTTGTCTCACACTCTGCACACACCCTTATATAAGTTGAAACACTAGCTTCCATAGCCTTTACACATACACTAGCTCAACACAGTGCTCACAAGCACTCCCCTTATCCTAAGTACCCTTGCTTGGACCCTACAAGCTCTCACAGCTCACCAAATACATATAAAAGAGTGAATATATACAATATTCAAGCTTACACAAAAGATAAGAGTGGTTGTCCAGCTCAAAACAACAATATATAGCCTTTAGAACCCTTTCTGCAGAAACTAGGGTTTGAAGGGTAAATCTAGAAATTCGTGTCCCGAAAATTTCGAGATCACTCCCATAACCTTATATCATCATTACAAACATGCTCAAATGATAAACAAGATAAGTACATCATGTGAACCACAATACAACATCAACAAGGCCTTGACAGCTTCTACACAATAAAGAACTAGGGTTTTAGTAGGTTAAAACCACAAGTGACCAATGTTCTGTCCAAAAACCAACTTCAACAGCCTTGATTCATCAATACAAACTTGCTAGCATGTAGATTAGACATTGTATAGCATGATATAAACAATCTATATATGAATCACAAGGCTAAACCAGAAAACAGCTTAAATCATAAGTCTGAGATGCAAAAATCATTTGCAGCATAGTAAACCTCAAGAACAAGTGCTCTGCAAATGTAAATAGCCAAAATATACCTGTTTCAACCTTGACTTATCACCACAGCAACCTCAGGCTCAAAGTGAACCTTCAAACCAGCCCTTACACTAACAAAACTTGACAACAAATGAACTCCATGATGAACACAGCAACAAGAATCAATTAAGTGACATTTCTATGAAGATTTCATGTTCAGAACATCATTAAGGACCTCAAAAATGTTGGTTCATAGGAAGCTCTCAAGTAAGGTTCGATGCAGGCCACTATTCGGGTTTTTCAAAAGGCTTGATTCAGCAGAAATGCTATAGCAACATATATATACTCAAGCATACAATTCAAGTCCGACTACAAGAAGGATATACATATAGCACATGTAGCCAATCATTGGCCAGAGAATGTTCTGACATTCTTCATGTGAATAGTCCACAATACCCTTGCCAACTCAGCTGTTTTGTTCTCTAGTATACCAGAAATTACAGCTCACAATATCAAGGTTGTAGTAACATTCTTATCCCAGACTTAATGATTAAGAAATGCAATGTGGTGTACACACTCTCACTCTAGGACCACAGCAACATGTCACACACCTTAGCTTTAAGTAGAAAGACCAAAATACCCTTGTAATAGCCACTTGTCATTCTCAGCCCAAACCTATTGTTGAGACTGAATAATTCACAATGCAGGCTAAAACACAGTTGTTCAATGCAATACAACTATCTGAACATATGTATAAACATAATACAACTGTGAAATGACCATAATACCGCTGAAAATCCCTATAGCTAATTTTCATATGCTGAACCTCAGTTAACATAGAAAATAACCTGAACAGGCTGAATAACTGCAATATATTATCTTAAACCATTGTAAAATTGTGTCACAAAATGGTAAAAGAATATACTACCCCTGAGAGATTATAAAAGCCATTGTGTACAACAATGGTGATGATATAAGCCCTTGAGAGCTCTGTTACACTAGGTTTTGACATCAAAAGGAAAACACCAATTGGTACTAACTAGGACCAACAATCTCTCCCTTTTTCCTTTAATGACAAAAACCTCAAAATGAAATAAGAACTAAAAAGTGAAGATTCAGCAACACAAGTATATGAATACCACAGTCACAGACAGTTAAATATAAGTACCAAAACCTTATTAAAGGATAAAAACTATCCTTATTTTATTCCTTTTCTCCACATTGAAGGTCAAAAGGTGATAAGGACCAATAATTATAAGCTCAAGAGGGTGGTGGAATAACCCTGAGAAGGACTCTAAGGGCTATAAATCACCGAGGAAGAAGAGGTTTGGTCATAATATCTACAAGTTGATCTTCAGTAGGCAAATAAGTGATATTAATGTGACATTTTTGA